GGAGATCGAATGTTTTGAGAGCAGAAAATTTCTCATTTTCGCTCAGTGCTGGATCAGCATTCTGTGAAAGCCGAATCTCTTTAAGGCTGCTTCATTTGGGTCCACAAGTAGAGAACTCATCTTCTTTAATGACATCTGTTATCTTAACCTAGGGTTCCTCTCAGATATCTTTGGTTAAGCAAAATGCCCTCCATAGACATTCTGCACTGCTAATTTCATTCTTGGTGTAACTTTAATTTCATCTGTATTGCTGTGAGAGAGGATTTTGTCTATGAGTGCCTATCTGCTCTGCAGTAGACTGGTGCTTTAGTTTTGCATATTTAAGAAAAAAGCACAAACTTAATTCTCTAGTAATTACAAGTCCTATTCTGTTAAAGGTCTGATACATGCTATAAATGCTCTAGCAATTACTTTATTAGGAATGTAACTTAAAAGCAGAGAGTTTTTACTTAATGGAGCTTTGATTTTCGTCTGGGCTTATATGTATTAGCAGAAGAGTAAATCTGTTTAGAGCCCAGGTCATGCTGGTCTGCAAGGAAATATTTTTATAAAACTTTCTCATTTGAACATCTTCTGTTGTTCAATTTATATATTACTGTTGAGATACCATTGACGTACATGGAACTGTGAAGATAAATGAAGTGTATACTAACAAATTAAAATGTGCTAGAGAACAGGTCTAGGCACTGGAACTTGATTGTCCATGCTGGTAGATTGCTAAGATAGGGTCTAATGTGATTTCGGCTAGGCTAATTAGCACTCTCTCAAATAGTTTCTAAATATGACTTGTTTATTTTACTAGTACAGATATAGCCTAATCTATGAATTTAACATGTGTGGATAGAACTTTACTTGAATTCAGGCAATCTTTAGCAAAGGACAGTTGTAGGACTATTTTAGGAACTGTTTGAAGACTAAATATTGCTAAAGAAATATTAGAGACCTTAGCAACTTTTGATTATTCTACTAAACTGCTTTTGATTATTTTTCCATATATTACGCTGTTTCACAGATAGAGAGAGGAGTCTAAGGATTATTTCAATAAAAATCCAGAGCATCTAAGGAGAAAGGGCCCAGCACTGTGTACATCTAAGGCAGATTTTGCCTGAAGCTAAAGTTGAATGTCAGGACCTCCAGGATATGTGTTGCTTTCAGTGCATACTATTTCTGTTCAGCGGGGAGCAAAATATGTTTCAGATATCTCTCAGGCTTAGTTTGAAAAAGGGAAAAGAGAATTCTTGCAGTTGAGGCTGGAGCAGCATTTGGCAGTTCTGAGAGGAAGTCCCATGTTGTTTGGTTGTGAAGCGATGTTCACAAAAATGCTGACAGCCTGAATATCAATAACATAGAAAGAAAAAGTTATTCCTTACCAATTGGCTTTCTGTTGAAGCTGTAAGGGCCAAGAGGATCAAGAAGATGATTTAAAGACAACCATGTCCTCCCAGCTCTACTTTTCCAAGTGCCTGGATAATGTTGTATTCCACTGAACCATTAACCCTGACAAATACTGACAATATTAAGGTGAGAAATGTTGTTTTCAACACCAGGAAGCTGCAGTTAACTTCTTGTAGCCAGTTCAGTGTTCTCTGATAGTCATTCAACGTCTCTGTAAAAGTTCTTGTCTTACATATTGTAAGCCCTTGTTTCTGGAAATGACTTGGAAAAGCCATATATTGTTTCTGTTGGCAATTCATGGAAAGCTTGTCTATTTTTTTTCCAGTTCCAACAGGCCAAGGTATTGATGATTTTCTGGAGCTCCTCAATACAACTCATAGGGGAGAATTAAAGCTAATTATTTTTACAAGAAAAACTGTTACATAAAAAACAAACAGACAACAAGCCTGCAATATTGTTTGAATGCTGTGCTTTTTGGAGAGGCTCTTTATACTTATAAGTTATTTCTTTCTTCCTAAGATAGAATGTATGTTTTGTGAACACCCTTGTAATTTATTTTTTTAAATTTTATTTATTTATTTATTTATTTATTACTATTTACTGCATCTAGGCAGAGGGCAGGGAAGACTGGAGAAAATGTAAACCAAAATATGAATGACAGGAAAATTAATTATTTTATCCAGCTAAGATCTTTGAAACAAAAGTATGAAAGCATTGGAGGATGACTTGAGAACTCTGAAAATATGATTTTCTTTCAAACCCTACTAACCTCTAAAAGTTTAATACTAATTTTAATATATTGAAAGCCTCACCATTTGAAATGATAACTACTTCGTACATCATGTATGTCATTCACTTTTTAAATGAAGGCAGCTCTCAAGACTAGGGCAGGGATAGTTTATTTGATCTTGCATGATGTTTCATAATTTTTCTGACTGTTCACTCATCTCAGATGGCTATAGATCATGTTGGTAATACAACCCATAGCTAACGAGGTTGAAACCTTGTGTGGCACTGGCCATATTACTCCCTCTTTGGAACCTCCCAACAATTTCCTTCCTGAAGCCCCTCTCTTGACTTGTGTGGCACAGGGCATTCAATCTTCATAAATGCAAACAATTGAGTTCATGGGACCTCTTGCTCCAATTGCAGATAACCCTGCCTCCCCCCCTCACTCTCTGTTGATAAATGTTTGATGCCAGCTGGGATTAGAACTGTGTTATGCCTCCCTGCTAATGAAAAATATTGCTTTCAGGGAATTTGTAAGGCAGTCCTGTGTTCTCATTTTGACCTGCTTTATTCCCCACCAAGTTCTGTGCTAAAGGAAGAAAAATAATGCATGTACTGAGAAAATCTCTTGGCTTTCTCCCTGGAAAGTATTCTGTGGACAGAAACCTGTATTTTCAGTTCAGGCGATTTTTTTATTCATTTCCAACACTGTTGACAGTGACTCTTAGAAGAGCGTGATCAGGAAATGAATGTGAGAATGGCAGTGAAAAGGACTAGGAATACTTCTGTTGTGGATCTCGTATATTTTATTTTACTCAGGGCTTGGAGAGCTCTTTTCCAAGTTCTACATACAGCCTTGATTATACAGTAATGATCAGCCTACATGTTATCACAAGGAGTGGAATTGTCTTTACGATGAGGAAAATACATTGGGATGAAAGAGAAGTACATTGGGATGTAAGCAATAAGTTACTTAGAAGTTTGGAAACCGAGGGTTTAGCCCCTGGGAGCCGTCTTGTTGCAAAGAGAGCAAAGTGGGCTTCTATATTCCTTTTTAGAAACCACCGCTGTGAACACCAGCAATGCCAGAATATTGCATCTTCCTGCATGCATTGTATGATTGGACATCTCAGTCTTTATTTCATGCAAATACTCTGTAGAGAAGGAGTTCTGTCTTGTACTCTTCCCTTGTATACCTGTAGAGGGATGTATAACTTAAACTGCATCTTGAGATAGACAGTCTGCCTGCTCCCACAGCCCAGAAATTTTCCCAAAGCCCTGTGTAGAAAATGTCCTTCTGCCTGACAATAGGTAGCTAGTGAGACTAGAAAAGTATAATTTAACTGAAATAAACCTCTAATGGATCATGTTTTCAGATTCAGTGAAAATAGCAGATGCAGTTTTGTTAATTTTGAGTCATGCATCATGTTTTCTAAGAAAACTAGCAGGAGTTTGGCCAGAGTGTAGAGGAAGTGTTCTGTGTGAAGGCACTGCAGGAAGGTGCTGGAGCTGCTGACCCCAACACACTGAGGACCATTGCATGATGTGTTTTTGTGTGCAATTCATGCTCCTCTCCCCTTCTTGATTAAGATTTGGTAATGGAAAAGCAGTAATGTTTGATCTGTAACTATGGTTTTCAATGACAACAGTAATTTAAGTGTCCAAGGTGTGACTACTGTACAGGAATAACTCCGTGTGGTCTGTCACAATGGATGTAGCATTACAATATGGCACCTAAATATTCAATTTAACCAGCAGATTTCTGTTTGAATTGGCTGTAAAGGTCCAGGTTTTGGTAGAACAGATGTTGCAGAAGCGGCCTCTGTGAGGAGAGGCTGAGGCTACCCAGTGCTAGACACAACCGGTTCCAGCTGGTTCCAGTCAGTTCGTTAGTTCCAGGCAATTCCAGACGGTTCCAGCCAGTTCCAGCTGTTTCCAGTCAGTTCCAGTCAGTTTCAGCTGGTTTCAGTCAGTTCCAGCCGGTCCCAGTCAGTTCCGTTTAGTTCCAGTCAGTTCCTGTTGGTTCCAGCTGGCTCCATTGGCCTGACCGTAGGACTCAGCCGGGCTTGTCAGTGAAGCTGGTGGCTCTCCTGTGAATATGTGTAAAGGACAGGGCAAAACATGGCATGGCTGTGAGGAGAAAAATGTCAGAAACAGCCCTGTGAAGCCAAGGTGAGGGTTGGGAATGAAGGAGCAATATCAAGCCTGGGATGAGGCGAGGGTGAGTGGGTGCTGTTGTTTTAATCTGTCTGTGCTTCTACTCACTATCTAAACCTATTTTGGTTGTCAATAAATTCATTTTCCCCAGGTTGAGTCAGTTTTGCTTGTGACAGTGGCTGATAAGTGATCTCCCTGACTTCATCTATTATCATCCTATTAAGAGTTTTCTCCTGCATGAGTGAGTGGCTGGGTGGGTGCCTGTCAGCCAGCCAAGGTCACCCTACCATACCAGGGTGGAAAATACAGGTAGTTCATGCATGATCACATCAAAAAGTGTGTTGTTGAACACCAGCATGTCCTAGCAGCAACAGGCAATTGTCATTTCCCTGCTTTGTCTGCTTGCACTATGAGCGCTACACCTGTGACAGTCATAGCTACTGGGTAGTGCTCTACGTGCATGTGTTACCTTAGTATCAGCAGACTTTTCCTAACCACAAAATTGAAATGCAGATTATGTCCTGGGATCTGTGGAGAGCTGTACTTTTCAGAAATATATCTGGGACTTCATAGTCTCTGAGCCTAAGTGAATTGTGCAGGTGAGCTTTGACAAAACAGACTTCAGGTTTCAATAGAATTGTAAGTAAAAACAGTTGTGTTTTCATGCAAACTATATATTCTATTACATCTTAACTTTTTTTTTTTTTCTTTTCTTCTAGATAAACATCATGTCAATGGAAACAGAATGGTAGAACCTTTCCCAGAGGGAACACAGATGGCTATGTTTGGTAAGATATCAGCTTTAGCATAAAAGCTTTAAGCTGTATAGTTTTACTGCATGCTAAATTTCTTATTTTCAGACTGAGTTCAGAATCAGGGCTTCTATTGCCATTTTATAATCACTACAATTAGCTAGAGCCACTGATCATCTTGGGAGATCTTCATGCCCCAGAAGACAATACTGAGAGTATTTTGCTGAGTTATACGAACAGAATATTTAATTTCTTATTTTGTATCATACCAACTCCCAAATAGTAGGTTTTTATGTATGTTAAGTACTGTAAGATTTTTCATTAAACAATGCTGAAAGTGTTGACTTTCCAGACCTTAAGTCATACTATTGGGTAGAAAGCTTTATCTACTGTACTTGCAGAGCTGTTACCATTTACATGTTACCAAACCAAGCCTGCTGTTGTGAACTTTGTGAATAATCCCATAGACTTCCTACTGACTGACAACAGAGCTGGAAAAGTGGACAGTTGTAAATGAGAAGATGTTCAATTTCATTATGTTTGTGCTATTTTGCATGAATATGTAATTCTTTGAGCCCTTGTGTAAAAACCTGAAAAAAAGTATTTATCTGGAGAAATGAGGAATTACTTCTGGAAGAAACAGACATCCTAAAATAAGTCAGAACCACTAGCTTTTTTTTTTTTTTTTTTTTTTTTTTTACTAAGATATGGTCTTCATGCAAATCTGGGAATAGTCAGAGCTGTCATTTCAGAATGTGCTAATCTTAGTCCTTAAGGGCGAGCCTATGGAATTTACCTGGGAAGAAAAAAGTGCATTCCTGTGACAATTATTCTTAAAACTTACTGTAGTAGAGAATGAAAAATTTCCTAAATCTGTTTTAAGCTACAAGAATAGGTTGTTTAGAAAAGATATAATTCTCTGTTACTTTCTACAGGATGGTACAAAACTGCCTTAGAAAATTTATTATATCCTCTTAAATATTTATATATCTGTGATGTGGTAGTAAGTCTTGATACTACTTGATACACCTGCTATATCATCTAGTCTGATGGAGTTGTGAATTATGTTAAGTACAGGGCAGGTACATAAAGCAGTCAACACTGTTTTTGACCTGGGCCTATTCTAATAAAATACATATAAATATTGTCACACGCTGTGTATAGCAAAAACTGGAAGATATACATAAAAATGGAGGATGTAGCTATGAAAGCAGTTATTCTGAGAAGCAATGCTATATAAATGTCCAATACGATATAACAAAAAGAATAAAGGCAGCCTTTAAATATGTAATCAGGGGTATAGTGAGTTGGAATTTTACAGGCAATTTTACACCCATATGCAGTGTTACCAAGAGAGGTACTAAAATGTATTTCACATTCTATTGAGTAATTAGGTAAAATTTATTAATACCAGCAACTAAGGATGAAACACTGAAGCAAACCATCAAAGGAACCAAGAGAATCTGCATATCATATTGTCTTTAGATAGGGACAGGGAGATTTAGCTGGGTGCCTAGCCACAGGATTCAGATGTCTTGGCCTCACCAGGCTGCCAGCTGCCAGACCAGGGGATGGAGGTCTCCTACAGCTCTGTTGTGTGATAACTTGGAAGTCCTCGGGCACCCAACATGGTCCTAGACACTTGTCAGGCACCTTATTTGCCCTACATGCTTCCTGAGGTTATACAATAGAAAACACATTATTCATCTCTATAAACGGAAGAGTAGTATAAATTATCTTCCCTACATGGTACAGAAGATAACCTTAGATAACCTGATCATCCCTACTGTGTTAGAGGTTAGGAATCTGTATTTTACAGGAGAAAGTAGCTTATGTCAATGTGGTATTTTCTCAGTCACTGAGCTCAGCAGCAGTGATCTGGTCTAATTTAGAAAAAGAAAAGACTCTCTGTAAGTGTTTCAAAAAAACCTGTGCAGTGTCTGAAAGTTCGTATATAATAACAGTTTACGTATCTGTCTGGAAAGAATTGATGATCTTAATCTACTTTCAAATAACAGAAGTGTATTCACATCTGAAATATGTAGCAATCCTGAGTGGAATTCAAAGGGCTAAGTTAGCCATAGGCACTAATTTATCACCCCCAAATTATCTTTTCATTTGATTATTGCAAAATATCACAGCAAACATTAACTTCTCTGTGGTGCTAATGTTGCTGTAGTTGCCATGGTTAAAGAGAAGAAATGGTTGGTGGGTGTTGCCATTGAGTTATCATCATGACTTCTTGAAGTTGTCTTCAACGTTCATCTAATTCAGTATTGTCTTCCTGCCAGTATTCCCTTGTCTGTGGATTTTGGGAACATCAAAAAATTCTTGGAGTGGTGGAATGACATTGTTTGATAGTTTTGTTCAAACTAATGGAAAAAGGATTTAAAATTGCCTTGTGAGTTCTAAGGTTAAGATGGATGTAGAGATTGTCCTCTAAATAATTTCTTATAGCAAGCAGGGTCAGGGAGTTCTGGTGCAGTCTGCTGTTGATATAGTCCTCACTATTTATATTGTTAGAGCTCCTCCTTTATCTCCTTTGTCATGCTTAGACCAATTTCCCAGTGTTTGTGAGGGTTGTTGGCATGAGTGCTGCTATTGATTGTATGACGGTTGATTGTACACAGTTTGTACATTTTCATAGAAATTAATGTACTACCTACAGAATTTCATTGGAAGAGCTCAAAATCTAATTAAACACCCTAGCTGTAATCATTCCTGAAGAAGTCTTATATTCCTATAAAGCCTGATAACTTATATCATTTTTAAATTGCCCTACATTTTCCACAAGAGCGTGATTGCAAATGTTGGGATAGGTGCTGAAAACTCATGCTGCTGCCATCTGTGCTGTGAATAAATGGAAAACCTACATATTCTTAGGTTTACTATTAGACCTGAAATATACTAGTATACAAACATGACTCTGATGATAATTGTTGTCATTTGTTGGCATTGGCATCACTTTCTGATAAATGAAGCTACAATTCATTTTTGCTACCTCCAAGGGGGCAGTGCTTGCTGGCCCCACGTGAATGGGAATGCAAGGAACCACTCAAAGAAAAATATGCATTAGTAATTCTTCTTCTCAGATTGTTACTCATCCTATCCACGTATGTTCCCCTTAACAGCAATTTTTTTTTTTTTTTAATTTTAGGACTCTATAAGCTAGGAGAAAGAAACTGAGCTAGTCATTTGTAGGAGTAGTGTCTCTGACTACCTTAGCAAGGGAGTGCTTCTTAAATCTCTTCTGTGGCAACATCCTTTAATCCTTTAATTCTGGTTGCACAGGGACAAGTCTCAAAGAGCAGTAGTCACTGAGAAGTAATCCCTCTTCCATAAAAATATCTAGAAAAGCTGAAAGATGGTAAATAATCTTATGATTTTATCATAAGAGCAGTAGTTACTAAGAAGTAATCCCTCTTCCTTAAAAATGTCTAGAAAAGCTGCATGATAGTAAATAACCATATGATTATCCTCACTACTTGCAGTGAATATTCCTACTACTTGGATGGTTTCAGATTCGCCACTAAAATACAATATAAAATGTAATACTGGGTTGTAAACACTAATCCTTTTACCTGCTAGCAAAATGCAGTTAGATTGCTTTATATAGCTCCATCTTCTGCAAAACCTCCTTAGAGATGCTCTTGGTAATGCTATGCTATTTGCTTTATGATATGACTTCATGTTTTGATCAAGGTACAGGGTGAATGTACACAGGTAATTGTTCCTGCAGCTTTCCCATTTATAACAGAACCTCACAGTTTTCAACAGACTATTTAAATGATCTTGAGATTCTTGTGTTGTCTGTTTAGCATCACTCAGCTGCCTAAGATATGCCTATTGTTCATTAGAATAAAGAAATGTGTCCTTGTTTCTACAATGGTGAAAAAGCTAGATTTCAAGGGTGAGGGTGACTCTTTAATGGAAATGTTTTAAGGCTAACCATCCAGTGACCTCTTAATCCAGATTCCAGCTAGTAATGAAGCACTAAGAGCACAAGAGGTGCGTAGACACTGCACAAGGTCTCACTGAAAACACAGTAGAATACTATATCAAAATCATTTTGTCCCTTGAAATAAGGAGGGGGCTGTATTCCCAACTTCAGCTGCTAAAACAGATGTAATGCTGGGTATTAGGTGTTTGAGTTTTAGATGGTATAATAGAAGAGATTCAATAAATGCCTGTCAAGATTTTTTTTCCCGATCATTTTTATGGCCACAGATATTTTCAGATAAAAATATTTTGCCTAGAGTGACTGTTTTTGATCAAAAAAACAAACAAACAAACAAAAAGAGAAAACTTGAACATGGATTAGGGGGTTGATAATGTTTGGAAAACAAGTAATTTAAAGTCTAAAATCAAGTTTTGGATGGAGGTGTATGCAAAGATAAAGGTGCTTCAAAGCTGCAGAGCAGTATGTTTTCAATGAATGAATACTTCCATGAGTGCCATTGAATTGATATTTTACACACATTTAAATGCACTGCTGTATTATGCTCAGCAACATTTCTGGTCAGAGTTTCTGACTTTTAGGTGTGTATTTTTCTTAAACAACTGCTGCTATTGCAAGACTCCAGTTTATCACAAAGCAACTACATATTCTCTGTGCTTTATATGGTATCTTTATCACATAAAAGGAAGCATTGTGTGTACATCATAGAACTCTTACTTACCTTTACTAAAGCCTGGCAATAGTTCAGGTTTGTAGCTATTGCACTTTTTAAATACAGGACCATGTTATGTTGCATTTGCTTGACATGTACTGGCTAATAATGGGGTAATTGGTTACTTGATGTAAACAAAATATAGACAGAAGTAGGATGTTAAGTAACTGATAAGATCTAATTACAGACATTTCTGAATTGGCAGACAGATCCAAGCTTGTTCACCTTCTGCTCTGCACTTAATAGACAGCAGCATGTTCCAGTAATTCTGTGTAGCCGTGTTATTGTTGTATTTTGCCTGAGTTTTTATGACCTATTGAGATTCAGATCCCCATGCATTCCCACTGCTTCCAAAGGTTATTTAAA